GGAGGCCACACTAGTGATTAGATGTATTACCTAAGTGCATGATCACCGCAGTCGCGGTAGGCTCTAACCTCGCTTTGCAGCATTGCATTCAGGGCGGGACCAATATCTCTCCAGTCCTCACATATTTTAGTTCCTCATGTTTTTATTTTACTACGGACGACTGCGGCTTCAAAGAAGACTCAGGAGACATATTTGTATCATATTCTTTCAATAAGCTGCCAGGTTGAGGCTTATTTAGGCTCAAACACAAAATTTAAGTTGCGTTGCATGGCTGCAAAAAGTTGCAACTTTGGCTACGTACTTAACTGTTCTATTTTAATCAAATATCCTTAATTTTCATAATTTGTTTAGTTTAATGCACTCTCAATAGTGCACGTCATCCGTCCTACTGCGCTTACTTCGATTACTGTAGATTGTGGGTACACGTGGTTTATGCGTGCTCTACGAGTCGCATCCGTGGGAAGTACCATTTCTTGAATATTCTAAGCATTGCTGTCCTCTTATTTCGTTTTAGTTGAGTTCAGGCCCTTGCGATCATAACACTCTTTTTTGTGCGCTACAGCATGCTCTCTGAACATAGCCACATTACATTATTTATAAACTCGCCAAATTTCTTATCTACCGTTAGTGAAGGTCCAGGTGCAAATATCATTAGCTTTTGTATAAAAACTTTCATTCTCAATAAATGTATCTTTGATTCTTTTCTGGCAGTGAAAGTAACTCCTGCTTTGTTGTAATAAAAAATAATCGATGCAGTCCTCGTAATCCGCATTCTATATTGTTTTTTTAATGTTGCTATCATTGGATCTTTTTAAATTTGGTGGTTTTTGACACTTGTGGTTTACTTTACAGCTTTATGGAGAACTTCAAAGAGTTAACTCGTCAGGATGCTGAGAAGGCTCTATCACACGAGCTAGAGCTTCTCACATCGGGCATACCAGACAGTCTGGAAAGGGAGAAGAAGCGATTTGACCAACAGATGCAGTCGTTCCAGAACCTTTTCAAACGTTTCATCGAGACGACTAAAGATTGTGAATGGGAAAAAATTGATTTGCTTCCGGATGATGCCGTACGTCTCTTTCTGATGACGTTCATTTGGTCGTCTTTGTGTTATTATCGCCGTTTCTTTTCTCAGCTTAAATCTTATGAAAATTTGCCGAAAGCTACTGACTCTGCTATTATAAAGGACCAACTTAATAAGCTTGTTGTCATCAAACTCAATGGTGGTTTGGGAACAAGCATGGGTTGTACTGGTCCAAAGTCGCTCATTTCTGTCAGAAACGAGTTGACGTTCCTGGACTTAACTATTCAACAAATTGAGGTTTGTTTTCTGTATATCACTCGCTAACACAGAATTCAACAAAATTGTGACTAATTACTATTCCTCTTCAAGTTTACTTTCATGTACTTGAATTGAAGAATTAAAACCCTTTCCGCGTCCTAAGTTTTGTTTAATTAGTAGGATTTTGTTTAAGAGCATTTTTATTGGGCCTATTGATACTTCAGCCTTTATATCTTTATTTTTTATGAAGAATCTCAACAAATCTTATGGATGCAATATTCCCCTTGTTTTGATGAATTCCTTCAACACCCATGAAGAGACCGCTAAGGTGTTACAGAAGTACCAAAAAGTTAATGTTGAAATCGAAACCTTCGTTCAAAGCATGTAGGTTTACGTAAATTTGTGATATTCGTTTAAATGGGTATTTTGGTGTGGCTCATTACTCAATTTGTAGGTGAATTGATTCCATTGCAAAAGTATTACATTTCTGAGTGCACTCCCAATTTCCTATTTGATCATATCGATTAAATATTACAGACTTTTTGTATATTTCGGACTTACCCTATTTTATATGCGTGCCCAGTGGACAAATGCATCAGTTATACTAGAACTTTGTTTATGTCCGGATAGTTGATAGTGCCTTTTTCGGTAGTGAATACTTCAGTTTTATTTTCAACCAGGTATCCTCGTTTAAATCGGGAATCTTTGTTGCCCATCGTGAAGTACGTCGATCCAGCTCTGCTACTGGGATCGAAGAAGTCGGAGAATTACGACCGTCCACCTGTCGATCTTTCTGGTTGGTATCCCCCAGGCCACGGTGATGTCTATCGCCGATTCTGCGAATCCGGATTGGCTCAAAAGATGCGCAAGGCTGGAAAAGAATGGATATTTATTTCTAACATTGACAACCTTGGTGCCTGCGTTGATTTAAGTAATTTCAGCCTTAGTTATTTTCGAGTTACTAACACCATAAATTTTATTGCATTGACTGACAATGTATTTATTTCCATTTTTCAAAACTTGCCATTATTCCGCCTTGTGGCCACGTGTATTTTAAATACATTCAGGCGTTCGTAGGTGGCAGAATACGTTGAGCGATGCTTCACGGGTTAATCGGCGACTTACTGTGTTAGTGTGATAAATAGGCTAAGGAATCTTGCACCTTTTATTTGATTACATTTTACAATATTTTGTCGAACTTTCTACCGTTGCATATTATTCAGCGACATTCCGATCTCCAAGGTGTGTTCTGTGCCTTGTAAAGTAGCACAACCTTCTGCTGTTTCGTATGAATAGCACGAAACGAAAACTTTTTTTGCTGGTCAATTTATCTATCATGCAATTTGATATTCTGAATAATTTCACCAAGAGATTGAACTAATGTACTTGCCGTAAAGCTGATTTCATAACTCATCTTATTTGATTTGTTTACGTATTTTATTTCTTTGCACTTAAAGACATCCTAAATTTCCTCACTTCGAATCCCAATTCGGCGCCCGGTTTCGTGATGGAGGTGACTGACAAAACAAGAGCTGATGTCAAAGGTGGTACTCTAGTAGGGTATGAAGGCCGTTTGCGACTCCTTGAAATTGCGCAGGTAATTCTCTCTGGCCCTGACTTCATTTTAGTACATTTTTTGTCAATGTGGTTAATTGCTACAGTCTCTATTGTTCATTCACCACTTATGCTGCTCGTTTGAGTCCACTAGTTGTCCTGGTTTGATTCCAACTGACATGGAACCATAATCCCCGTCACGCTCGGTACTTACATTTTTAACGGTTTGGCATACAAATGAAAGCTTCAATTTGAATGAAGTAATTGTGTGCCGTATAGTTAGCAAGGTGACCTGGGATTTTACTTGCATAAAGTAATGGAAGTCATGTTTTAGGCGTGTTACTGTAACCCATATTTTTACCTCTCGGGACATTTTGTGCGCCAGATAGTCTGTCAGTTCTGTATTTCAGAAGCTGAGACTCAACTTGTTGACACCTTCGTATTCCCATCCTGCGACAGGTTCCTCCGGAGCATGTCGATGAGTTCACCAGTGTGCGCAAGTTTCGCATCTTCAATACGAACAACTTATGGGCGAAGTTGAGTGAGGTCGAGGAGTTGGTGAAGAATGACCAGATGACCATGGAGGTGATTCGCAACCCTAAGACTCTTGACTCCGGTATCAACATCATCCAGCTGGAGGAGGCTGCTGGTGCTGCCATTCGCAACTTCAAGGGTGCTATTGGTGAGAATTACTGCGTTTACTGACTCCTCTTGCTCCTTAGCCCTGTTGTAAGTGGCGTGGTCATACCCAACGCCTGTTTCCCTAATTACTTCATTTTCTATTCCTAGTAAAGATATAAAATTTGCCAGTCATGGTGGAAAGAGTGGAAGCAATATTTGCAGTTTTAAATAGTTTCTTGCAAAGTAAAGTGCCTCGTAATCAGTGGTTTTGTTGAGCTTGTTGAAGTGTGCATTCTGAGGAGCTGATCTGAAAATTACGTAAACTATCCATATTTGAGGTATCAACGTGCCCCGTAGCCGTTTCCTTCCTGTCAAGACGACCTCGGATCTGTTACTTCTCATGTCGAATCTCTACACGCTTGACAATGGCACCATCATAATGTCACCCAAGCGTTCGTTCCCCACGGTACCATTGGTAAAGTTGGGAGATGAATTCAAGAAAGTCAAGGACTTTTTGTCGCGCTTCGCCAACATCCCCGACCTGTTGGAGCTGGACCACCTGACTATCGCCGGTAACGTCTACATTGGTCAAGACGTCTCTCTCAAGGTGTGGCGGTTTCTCATTTACACTCGTTTTTGAACATTCCTCACCTTAACCCCTTTAAGGTGAGGAGATTGGCTCCAATCTGGTTTGAAGTGTTTCCATACGACATTTTAGAATGCTGATGTTAGCCTGCGCATAAAATCCTCCTAACAGTTTGTTCAGTTTTGTGTTGGAATTTTTCCGTAGTTTTCTGACACTGTGACCTTATTAGCTTCTGCATGTCGACTGTGACTGTTGCTAAACGGGATTCATTCTGTGCGATATGAGTTCATCCAATGGCGACAGCTATTTCCTCTATCACATTGGCCTGTAAGCGTTGTTCTGCTAGTCTTATTCTCTTTTTATTCATGTCTGCGCTGCCTTGTGTATTTGTGCTGGACGCGTACGCCTTTGTGAATAACTGCGTGCCGGTGTAGATACCGCGTGCATTGCATCGTACGTGATCGTTTATGACTAGGCCATGTTACTGGTTTGGAATTTCCCTCAAAGTGTGCTCTTCTATGCACTTCTTGGATGGGACCAAGTACGGCTACCACGTTGTTTTCGAACATGACGATTCGGTCGGTGATGAATCGTTTTATGACCTCCAAATTTTAGTAAATTTCCGTTCTTCAATTCTCGCCATTTCTACTTCGAAGTGCTTGGGGCGTGACTAAGGGCGGTTCATTTTCATCTGGGTCATCATCGTTTTCTATCACTTTGAGGGTTTTTGAAGTGCAAGCGCACAAAACCTGAAATGCATTCTGCCCGTGTCGCCTGGAAATAAATGGACCTCCAGTTTACATGCGCTAGTAAATAAAGGGTTGGGCGGCGCGCTTCCTGTTTACAAGATGGTCGATGCGGTCGCTGTGTCCGTGCGTGCACGTTGCATGCACACCCAACTAGGCGCACCTGCTGCTTTGGGCTTGGCACCTACAACTGTCGCGTCTGTGTTCTACTCTAAACAGAGCAGATGCCTCGCTTTTTCTTCTGCTTATGCTTTCAATAAAATGCAAAAATTAAACTTTAGTTTGGTGGTTTCAGGGGTGGAACTGCGCATTGCTACTGGAGATTTATGTGTGAATGAGGTCATGTGGGGGCTACTTTCTTCCCTTGTATTTTACTGAATGGAGTGAAATGTAGGTCATGAGCTCTTGCTGCCATCGAACTGGCCATGCACAATCACCCAAGTGCCGTGTTTTTTCCATTTCAATCGTTGTTGCATGATGAAATTTGTCAAGTTAAATTTATCCGTTTCCGTTACAGTGCTTATTTACTTAGGTCTCTCGGACTCTTATAATGCTTTATGTGTTTCATTAGATTACAGCTTTACCCATTATATGGAAATATTGTTACATGAATTGAATTTCAGACGTTTTCTTGATCTGTTCTTTAGGGAACGGTCATAATTATAGCGAATCATGGGGAGAAAATATGCCTCCCTAAAGGCTCTCAATTGGAGAACAAAATTGTCTCCGGTAACCTACACATCTTGGACCACTAGAAATACCAACTATCATTTCCTGGCGCATTTTACAATTTGCTTCGCTTTAGCCTGTGATGCGATTACTCCTTGATCACTATCTTGTCCACTCTTTTTCCTTTTCCACACTATCCACCAATAATCATGTTGATTAATCTTCTGCACCTTCTTCACTTTTTGCATGTTTAATTATGTCACATTTTAATGCATGCGTCGTGGACCTTTGCAAACATGTAGATAAAATAGTGCGTATTTTAACGCGTTTTTTAAAGGTTGTGTCAGGCGCTACTTTACGAGGGTCGATGTTTCCGAAACAATGCAGAATCACGAAACGCTAAGGTAAAGCTTTCGGGCTAAATGCCTCCGTCTTGTGGCAGCAACATGTGTACTTGAATGACAGACTTGTTACTTTTGAAGGGGGGTCGGGATATTTCCATCAATTTTATTGCTGAGCATTAATTTGTACTAGTCAGTTGGCTGTGATCGGTAATGTTGTATCACGTAGATTTAGTTGTTCATTATGGATCAGTTTTGTTGAGCATTAGTGCCTCAAAATACGATTCGAAACGATGGTTAGTAAGCTTCTAACGTTGGCTATACTTAGGCTTTATCGTCGGGAATCAATTATTCAAGCTGGAATGTATGAATATCAAGTCTCGAAACCGGAATGTAATAAGGGGTCGCTGACCATTTTCGGTACGTACGATGAAAAAGCAAGTAAATTTCGTGTCCACTAATTGTATGTTATGACCGATTTGTGGTGGTTTCCATACAGAGTTAGCTAACACCAGTGTTGCTAGAACCTCAACTCCAGGCAAGTAGGGCTAGCTCAAAATTATTTTTATTTACGGGTAAGCTTTAGTTTAAATGTGGCGAATACCATCGATTACTTAAGACTGTAAAAAGCATTGTTCAACATCAAGGAGATGATGTTCATCACATGTACTATATGGAGAGGATGTTCGGATCAAATCGAGAATTATAAATTCCCCTTTACGTAACTGGATGATTCCGTGGCAGCATTACAGGCAGTAGTAAGTGGCGTGCCCTCCACTGTCACGCGTCACTCTAGACACCATTGACAGATGCCAAGTAGCAGTAGTAGTGCTTGCATGCATCAGCGTTTGGTGATGAGCGAAGTGCGTTGTGAACATAAAAAAAACTTGGGAAAAACTTCTCTTCATACCACCTGGAAGTAGGCGGGCTATGCATTTAAATGTGCAAACTGAGAAATAATTGGTGAAATGTATTTGAACGGCGCGCTTCCTGTTTACACAAAGGTCGCTGTGGTCGCCGATGTGTGGGTACGGCTGCGCATGTGCACATCCAACCGGCGCATCTGTACCTTTAAAGCCAGCACCCCCAAAGGAAAACTTCTTGGGTTTTTTGCCAACGCTTCTGAGAAGTGACCCCTCTTTGAGTGTGCAATATTACGCGTTACTATTTCACAAAGTTAAACCCTAGTGACACTTAATACAACGCTCATTCGAGCCAACAGTTATGTCTTTTCGTCTCTCATCCTCTCACTGTCAAAGCAAACACACTTATTACTTGATCAGTTGGTGTTCTATTTCATAAGCGTTTATTTACTAATGACAGTCTCCTTATGATGTAATTTCCATCCCAATATTAAAAGATACTAGCAACCAAACAATGCACCACTAATAGTCTTCCCATTAAACCTCTGGAAACCTGTGCGTAGGCGTAAGATCATGCGTGTTATCTACCTTACTATAGGATGTTTCGGCATTTGAACAAATACACATCCGGAAGGACATGCTACCACACCTTAGCGGCAGCCACTTGCCGACGGGGCGAAATACGCAAGCAGACCCTACTCCAGTGCAATAACTTCAAGAAGCACCAATAGACGAGTGATGGTGACAGAAGCAAGGCCCTTGAGTTTGTAGGCATCAAAGATGAACAGCATTCAAACGCACACCCCACCGGACCCCCCACCTCAGATTAAGCCGACTGAATTGCGGTATCCCAGAGATACCACCACCCAACATCTACTAGGCTCCTTGTAAAACCATACTGAAGAACACCACCAAGCAGCAACCCCCAAGTCGTCAGGTGCCACGGCGCCAAACAACCACTCCACAGACAGCAGCCTACCCGCCTCGCTTACAGTCATTCAGAGCCCCAACCTGCCTCCTGCTGCCTTGTCTTAAAGGCCAAACTTGCAAGCACACTGGCACAATTGACCTACTCTGGAACCCAAATCATTGGCATTGATAAGAATGAACAAGTCCACACTGCAGGTTATGGTACAATTCAATTTCGAAGACAGAGGTATGATTCTGGAGTGAGTATATGTACATGGGAAACAAAAAGACAATCAGTGGCGGCGCACTGGTAGAGAGGGCGGGAGATCATTATCTAACACACCAGATAAATCTTCATCACTCAGATACTTGAGGATTTCATCAATACTATCAGCGGAACTTGAGGGTGTTAGAGGAACGTCGATAGTTTCATCCACAAAAGACTTGTAAATTTCAGCGTACAATGAAGGAGCAGACACAATTGGGGCGATATCTACCTCATAGGCAGAGTCTTCCGTGGACTGCGATGGAATCGTAACCTCTGAGGAGATATCGGCAACGACGTCATCTTGAAAAATGACACCAAAATCATTAGCATAGGCCGACTGAACGAAGCCAGAGCTAGGCTGACAAAAGAGAGGCAGATCAGAAGTAGAACGCAGAGAACCACACCCTGCTGCAGAGGGAAGAGCACTGCTGGCTCCGATGGCTCAATCTGCTCAATTTTTAACGTTTGATCGCCACTTGTCGACAAGCCTAACTGGTAATGGATTGAATTAAGTCGCATTTCCTGCTCTTGACACTTGTGCTTCAAAAGACTAATTGCTTGGCGCAGAGACTGATTCTCCGACTGAAGACTACGAATACTCTGCTCCATCAGAAGGATGGAATTCTTCTTCCTATCTCTGGCTTTCTGAGCAGCTTCACGATTCAAAAGTTTCCTAATAATGAAGATAAAAGAGTTGCAACAAACCTCCTAAGTACCTTCTCCTCTTCAGTTAAAAAGTCTAGCCTAGTTCTCTTGCGACTGGCATCACTGTGTGGAAGGGGAGGTACATGACCATAAGAAGCAAGAACAACAGCAGTCCGCTTCCCAACCATTACGTCATTAGACTATAGCCGCCACCTTGACAATTTCAACAAGCATGAAACAAAATTATAAATGAAGAAGTTTATAAAAGACGAAGTACAAATTGGCTCACGAATAGCAACAATGAGATGATAACTATTCTTTGTGGCCACCTTGAGGAAATGTCCAGAAACTACCAAATATGTATTTGCTTTTTTATTCAAAGTGGCAAGTAAATATTTAAACGTGTAAACATTCGACTTAGATACGTTGCATTCAACCTAAAAAACCAAAACAGTGTGCAAACCATTGACTCTCTGTCAAGTATCCCTAGAAAAGCCTCCAATATCCATATTATCAGCATTTTATGAACTTAAAAAACTTATATGTAGCACCTTATACTAGTTTTGTCACCCTATAAGCATCACCTAAAAAGAATTTTTGTGCACAGATGTTTTAAACACTGATTTTATGTGGGATACTCATCATTTTACCAGTGACATTTATGTCCCTTTTGCTACCAACTTTAATCGTACTCTTAAATCTTGGCTTCAAAATTAGGATGGTAGTGGTTACGATTTAATTGGTCGGTCACCTCAAAGGCGAATAATGCCTGACAGGCTTACTTCCCCGCTTTTGGTTTGTTTAGTCATGGCTGTTGAGAGGGCTCATCTCAGAAACTGGGCTGGTCGTATTTTTTCCCATTTTTTCTGCTTGCCAACGCCTCTATCGGCTCGAATTCGTATAAAGCAAAGTTCTTCGGAAACTAAGACGACGTATAGCATTTGCTCTAAATGGAAACAGGTTGACAGCTGTCGGAACGATTTCTTGGTCATGAATCAGGAATACTCGATTTTCTTTCGGAACAGATTTGAAGCACCACAGCTTTTGTATTCCTCTTTCGGAACAGTGACATCTTTTAGCTCTTGTTTCCCGTACACAGGGAAGTCTGAAACTCTTTTGTGGGACATTGAGCAGGATCCGCTGCGTGTCGTTTTTGTTGAATATACTCCTTCAAGCAGTGTGTCAGGTGATTCAGAGGCAATAAAGGCTTCGTCGGCTATTTCTGGGACATTTGTTTATGTGTTTTGTTCAAAGAGTGGAAAAAAATTAAAAACAATCAAATTGCCAACTGAAAATGCTAAAAGTTTACCCGCAGCTCATGGGAAGGTGTATAGGTCGGGCGATTCGTCAGTACCATTTGCGTCTTGCCGATTTTGTCCTACAAATCCCAATAAAATAATATATTTAGCAGAATATTCCCGCATCGTTGGCGACAAAGATCCTTCTGAATCGGTGTGTTCCGATACACTAGTTGTCTTTAAAGCTAATGTCAGTATGTACTGGAAATGTTTTGGCTCGCTTCTGTGATATCTTCGTTAAGGTCGGTGGCGCTACTTATACATGAACGACTAGTGTTGGTAAATTAGGTTTTCTGTTACAATTTGTTCTATAGTATCGATAAGCGAATCCTTAAATCTAAATGCCTAAATGACTTTAATGTGTTCATAATTTCGTTTAGGTTACCAAAAGTATTCCCGAAAGATCTCCTTTCATATTTGAGGAAAACTGGGGTGAGGGTTTGAGTAATACCTTACGTCCAGTTGTTTGTCTTCTTGACCTGGAGACAGAGGAAGTTGTTTGCACTCAGTCCTGCTTAGAACAACTCGTTCCAGAAGCAAAGCACTGGTCCATTGACGACCCTCATTACACTCCCAATGGTAATGGAATCGTTTTCGTTGCCTACGATAACAATCCATATCGACTTGGATTGAAATACTGTTATCAACGAGTAGCTCGATTAATGTATTGGGATTTTGGTGAGTTAGACCAATAATTTGTACTTCCGAATGGCATTTAAGGACTGTTTCATGGTATGTTTTACCCTTCAGAGACATCAACACTGCAATGTCTCAGCCATGACAATCATGCTGTACGGTGGCCGCGTTTTTCTCCTGATGGGTTGAAACTGATTTGGTTTGAAATACCGGCTGGTGGACCGCATGGGCAGTGTTTTGCGATGATAGCTCAAAATTGGCCTCCAGACCAGTCTGAACCCGAGGTAATTATTCCTCTTGTTGCTATGGTGAAAGATCGGTCTGAATTCCCAGGTATGCGGTCCCCACCTAGTATCGCACTCCACACTATTTTGCTTGCATTTCATCGTCGGCATTTCTTTCCGAACAAGGTCTTTATCTTTGCGCTGGGGTTCCTGAAAGATGCTGGACAGCTGATAGCAAAGGAGTCGTTTTGTCAACCATCTGGGGCGCGGAAAAGGCTCTCATCCATGTAGATTTGGATTCAGGCCCGTCGGATCGAATTTCTCGTTTTTCATCGCCTCTAGCTAATTTGGAAAAGGGTGGTGGGTACGGAACTGTCACACTAATGGACGTAAATGATGATGTACTAGTTGTGGATGTTAGTTCGCCGGCTGTCCCCAATTTCCTCGCCTTTGCAAAAGTTTCAAATGGAAGCGTTGCTAAAACAAAGTAAGATGCAGTTTTAAATTGTTTTCATTGCATTTAGCTGGCTCAGCCTTAGTCTAACTGGCGATGATCAGCCCATAGTGCCTTGTTTGAAGGGGCTCGAGTGGAAAGTGCTCGAACATACAGCTAAAACAGAGGACACACGTTTCGGTGTCACGCGCTTTGAGTCTATTCTCGTTTATCCTCTACTAGACTCTTCTTCGTTGCAATTTTGCAGAGGTTCCCGTATGTTCATATTCAAGGAAACTGCTTTTGCTCAATTTATCACCCTGGGGAATGTGCTTTCGTTCCCTTCACTTTTAAGATTTCACGAATCGGGAGGTTACTTGGGAGAACACTCGCGGCTTAATCGTTCTTCCTCATGGCGGTCCCCATTCCGCTTTTACGGCCGAATGGTTGCCACTATTAACCTCTTATATCGCTGCAGGCTTTGCCTGTCTTCTTGTCAACTACCGTGGTTCTGTCGGGTATGGCAACTCCAGTATCTATTCACTTCCCGGTAAATGTGGCGTCATCGATGTGGCCGACTGTGTTCAAGTTAGCTTTCAATATAAATGTGCGAAGGCATTTCCTTCGTATCACCAATGCACTGTTTTTTAGGCGACTGAAGAGGCCCTCTGTGATTTGGGCAAGCCTGATCTGCCGTGTGTTTTGCTTGGAGGCTCCCACGGCGGCTTTTTGGTACTACATTTGGCGGGTCGCTACGCGTCGCTCTACCGTGCCGTAGTGGCTCGTAACCCAGTGACAAATCTGGTGAGCATGCTCAGTACCACCGACATCCCCGACTGGTGTTGGACTGAGGCGGGCATTGGGCTTGACAACGCGGTTGCCGATCCCCAGCATCCTGACCACCTCTGTCGTGATTGCACCTTCGCCTCTAATTTCTGTCCCACTGATCCCAACCACCTGACTCGTCTTGTCACCTGCTCCCCAATCACCCATATCTCGTCTGAATGGTCCGTTCCAATTCTTATGTGTATTGGTGCAAAAGACCAACGAGTACCGAATGAACAGGTGCGTCTTGCAATTCCTCCACTTCTTATTTCAGCATTCCCATGTCTAGGTTTTTTGCACAATACTTAGGCATAATCCACTTCGAATATTGCTACAGGGGACCTCCTTCATGCGTGCGCTGCGAGCCCACTTAGGTGAAAGGGCGGGAGAGACAATGTGTCAAACTCTGTGTTTCCCCACCGAGGGGCATCCCATTCAGAGTCCCGCAGCCTCTAAGGATAATTTTGTGAGAGCCGTCGAGTGGTACTATCAAGCTCTCGGGCTTCTCAAAGCGTAATCATGGCTCTTTCCAGCACCTCCTCACCCTTCTCTCCAATGTGCCCCCCTGTCTTATTGCGCTCTTTTCTGGTTTGAATATACATTGTCTTTACCATACGATCTCTTATTTATTGCACGCTATGCCAACACCCTTTTGGATGCCATATTTCTGATTATCATACATCATCGTAACTATGTTTATGGGTTTTGGGATGAAATCCAAACTTGGCCCGTCTGTTAAAATAGCCGCAGGATCTTTGTGTTGATTTCTAGTAGAGTTGATACTCAATTTTGGGGCGATGGGGCTAGGTACGTGCTCTGGTTCACTGTTAAACGAGAGGTTAAGTGCGTGTGCAGAGGTGGTCCTGTAATTCGCAGCTGAATCGGGCGGGATCTTCTGCTGTCTTACTATTAATTTAGTCGCTGGTGTTTTCGAAGCCAAGGTACTTTATTATTTTGCAATCTAACAGTACAAGGCAAGGCTTTTGACTCCTTAAAATAATATCGTGACCCTAACAAGAACGTTAAATCAAAGCATTTCCATGGCTCAAATGTGTGCACATTTTCAGAAACGCGAAAGTTCGTTACAATTATTGATACCTCAAGAGTCTCTTGATAAAAGTTTAGTTGTACAACTATCGTTTTCTTATTTAGTTCTCCCTCTTTCCACCCCGATGGACGACAGTGCCTTTTCAGATTTTCTTCAGAATGACGACTATGATTCGGACGATCCTGAATGGGTAGGCATGAAAGTTTTCACTTTTTTTCACCGGATTTCAAAATTTTAATGGGCATGCATCACAAAATATTTGCGTTTGGATTTCGATTCATTTTATTTCCAACAGTTGTTTTCTTCAACCAAGGCTAGCTGACCGGTGAAATTACATGATTTTATCTATCGTCGATGAATAGATTTAATAAAGACAATGAATGGTTTTTCGTTAATTTTCCATGCGTGTGATTATTTCCACTTTTGTGGAAGCAAATGTCCTGCTTCGGAACGAAACCGATTTTCTATTTAGTAAGTGTACACCGCCTTCCATTTCGTTCAGCCTCGTAGTTTTCACCATTTCCGTAATATGATGATACATTACTTTATTCGCAATATTTATGTTCGATCCTTTAGTATAGTTATATTGACTCGTAAGGTAACTATATTTTAACGTCGTAAGTAGTTTTTGAGCGAAAATATTTTTCGTTCAAATGTAAGCTTAAAATTGAAATCGGTTGCCAAATCTCATAGCTCATCGCTGCATTAATTGGTAACGGGAAAGTTCATATCCCCACTACAGCACTTTTCTCAGCTCCTCATTGACTACTTTTGACTGTTTCAGTTTTGTCAAAATAGCACTTCCACCTCTCTCATTTGCCAGCTACTAAAGTATTCCTTATAGCCGCACTTTCTAAACTTCCTTCTCACAGTTTCCAGTGGCACGAGATGGTGTAATATTTCTGGTTGACTGCACAGCCACCATGGTCAGCGAGAAGCTGCCCGAGGCTCTTGGCAGGGCGGGAACTGACACTGGTCTGAAGTTGGCGCTCCTACTCTGCCAGAACTTCATGCATAAAAAGGCCCTCAGCAGTCCCGATGATATGGTCGGTCTGGTGCTCATGAGGATGGTGGGAGCATTTTCTCTTTTACACTCGCGACATGTAGTAGGGCTTTCCTCCTCCCGTTGACGCCCTGCTGGTGTTGAGAGATTAAGTTGGACGCAAATTTTCTTTGTTTTTTTTTGATCAGTAACTAGAACTTTAAACGATTTCATGCGAATAAGCGTTGTTGCCAATACATGATATTCATTTTTCGTGCTTATTTGTATTTCGTTGACGTGTCTTCGCAATGTTTTGGTGTTTGTAAAGTCATGCCAATTCAAGGGGTTACCGCTGTGAGCCTTGAACTCCGATTTGTTATCATTATCACTCTTATGATGAGAAAAACAACTGCTCGTTTATGCCTTTTATCTTGTAGGGTACTTCGACCTCTGCGGAATCTAGGGGTGTGAATATTTTTCAGGTACTTAGTAAAAAACCACCAATTTAGAAATATTTGTATAAAGATCACTATTTAATCGAGTCAACTATTTTAATGGAATTTGTGGAAGCATTCGTTTTCACTCAATTCCCATATTTTTATTGCAATAGAATCTGGATTTGACTGACGCATCACGTGTCCTTGCAATTGAAAAAATTCGTGAGATGTCCTCGAAGAAGTTTCTCGAATGTTATGGGCCTCTCCTCACAGGGGAAAGCTATCCTATTCACGAAGCGCTTTGGGTTTGCCAAAGCATTTTTAACAACGTGTAATTTTCCCCAATTTTCACACTTGTAGCATACTTGTAATCTTCCTGCTTCATCTTTATGTTTGTAATTCTATTTACTAGAAGTCAACTGCTGCGGCTTCCATCATCGAAATTTATTTGAGATAATTTCGTCCACTTTTCCCACCTTACTTTGTGCTTCGTGAATTTCTATATTAATGTTCCATCGATGTTTTCATTCAAAATTTCGTGTTCACTATAATAAATGTGATTTTGTCATCTGTCTCTGGCGGTAGGTCTTCAACTTCTAATCTTGAATTATAATCTATCCAGACTAGTCACTTTACGAGCTACTATCAATTAAAATGGGGTCGTTTTATTTCCCAAAAGGTTTGGGTTGTCTGCATTGGGTTATGCTGTCCTTACACCTTTGTTGATGCAATCCTTCTCTAGTGCGCGGTTTCGGATTAGCTTGAGAAGCATTATCTTGAGTTTTTTCGGGAACCGCCATTCATGTTTGCTCTGTAGCATTACGTTTGTTATTGTTTTTTTAGGAGGAAGTCTCTGGGATACAAGCGCATATTTTTGTTGACGGACGACCCTGATCCAGTTGGAAGCGGGATCCAACTCAAGGTTCGGCTGATAAATCGCGGTTTCTTATTCCAATTCATTCTCTTTCCCTGATCCTTTCGTATTACTTTGTATCTGTAGCGTCAGGCCATTTTGAAGGCAAATGACTTACGGCAAAGTGGGATAGAAATAGTACTTATACCCATTCAACAAGATGGCATCGATTTTAAAAAGGACACTTTCTATAAGGTAAAATGGCTTTTCTACCCATAGTCATTTCACGTCTAGAAATCCGCCTTATCCAATACTTTCACCTTTCATCGCTCCATTTAAGTTATTTTAAACTGTTTTAGCACCTTCTTCCCTCGGAGACCGAGATTGATTTACTTCTTATTGAATCAAGTAGTCGTCTAGACAAGCTGTTAAATTGGTTAGTGCTAATTTACCTTTGAATCCCGACCTTGGTGAGTGAAATATTGAGCCTTTTGGATGTTCTAAACTGAGCCAAATTATGAGCGGAATATACCAGAACCCATTTATGACGCAGCAGTAATCTCTACTTCGGAAGTAGCACTTCGTTTTTATGGACGTATTCAAGCAATGCTTTATGCTGGAATGAGATCAATGTGCTATTGGGGTTGTCTAGATTTATCCTTACCACGACTACCGAACATAACAAAGGTGCCACAAGGGGAGTATGCATCCTTTAAAATGCAATCATACAACTCCGGTAGTTGGTATATCATTATCTCACTGATAATTAATGTGATAACATCCCGATATTCGAATTCTTACCAGAATTTAACCAATGGAGAGAAGACATAATTACTTTAAAAATATCGTTTGAACATTGTGTAGGGTACGATTGACTACCGACTTAGGCGTTAAACTCCTAATAATACGAAATGCGAAATCACTTTCCTGCACTGTAAATATTGCTTGTACGCTCCCTATAGTGCCAAAAGTTTAGCTGAAATGCAAATATTTGAAATTAACCGAATCACAGTTCCTATAACATGCATATTGAATGGGGTATTATTTATCTAATGCGATCATTTCAATCTTTCCTATACCTGTAACCATTCTCATGTCATAGATATTTCGCCATCACCATTTCTTTCCCATGACCATAAGGTCGGCTTTGTGTAGCTCCATTAGGTCTCTTTCGTTAGTGCTATACATTTTCTTTTAATAAGGAGTTTTTAAAACGGCCAGTAATAACAGGCTTGTTTGGATGGCACACGCCGTGACTGGCTTTTTACTGCCAAAGTGAAATTCATTACTTCTATCGGGCGCCAGAGACCACAGTGGTCCTCTTGATTGCAGGGAAGGATTACAGGAACCCAGGCGCCGTCGTCTGGGCCGTCTGCCTCTCTATCTGGTGCCCTTGACTCCCGCAGCGCTGATCAGAGGGGCCATCGGCACTGAGCGTTTCAGCCAGGTTCCGACCCTTGCCTTCGGTGTCGCCGCCTACTGTCTCGTGCGACGCGTTCCGCCGCCCAAGCAAGTGCGATTCTCATGGGTGTCTCAGTAATCTCTGTGG